GGTGTGCTGACATTTACCAGAACTAGAAAGCAGGAACATCCAGTTCCCTTCCAGAAACATTCAGGACTGACTGAGTTCAGGCACCGTGGTGCGGTGGTTAGCACTGCTGCCTCACAGCATGGAGGTTCTGGGTTCGAGCCCGGGCCACCCAGTATCAGGTGGAATTGACTCCAGTCCCCCCCGCAACCCTTGTTAGGATAAGCGGTATAGATAGTGGATGGATGGCTGAGTTCAAGGCTTACTGTGGGCTTGCACCCGTTATATGACTGAGCTGTTGTATTCTGTGTCGTAATCAGAACTGTCTGAGAGTTTCATATGAACACAGGTGTGATAATGCCCTCACCTTATTGAGGGGACAAGAAGAAAAGCAGGACACCCTCGCACTGGTGCTGAAGGAAGCAGAGACATTTTTGCTGTAACTTTGCTTTCAACATTAATGGATAACTAAAACAGATACAGAATAATATCCTGTCACTGAAAAGTAGCTGCAGCTCTAAAATACTTTCATGGAATATAATGAGGGCTTTGCCAAATACTCCTGTCCTGATGTTTCTGCCGAGCGTTGGATGCGAAAGAGATTGCATCTCATCTCCTACAAACACTCAGCATTGCTTTTATTAAATAATGAATCTTGAATATGTGGCTCATTTGCCTAAACTCCGAGGCTGTTTTTGATATGAGGACATGTTTTATCTGCACAAGTCAGTGATACATCAGGTATTACAGTTACACTCGTCTGTGGTGGTGAGCACAAGGTCTTACTGTATCTATCAGAGAAAACTGCTTTCTTCCCTCCAACATTTCACATTGTGTTCATTCTATTTTAACCATTTTAGCACCAATTATGCAACAGCACACAGAACCAGAAAAGCTGTGAAAGTGAATTTCACCTCTGGTCCCTTCTGGCTGCTGCTCTACAGAAACCCTGTCCTCATGAGCCACAAAGTACTGAGAGACATTCGTTCGGGCTGCTGTGAGCTGAAACAGCTTCAGGATTTGATTTTTGAGATTGTGGCGACTCCTCGGTTCAAATGTCACATACCAGAGGGCGAGAGAGGTATGATAAGAGACGGGGAGAGAGGAGGCGGAGGAAAACCATTTAGCTGCGAGTTCATTTCCCCTGCGAAGCCTGAGCTCCATTTCTGTCCATCCCCCGACAGATATCCATCTCTCTGACAGCAGGTAGAGGAGGAGGGGGTGTGGGTGTGTGTACCAGCCTGTCTGATCGTGTGGACAAACTGTGGTCCAAAACGATTGTTGTGAGGACACCGTCTGGTCCTCATGCCTTTGAAGGGCTGTGTGAGGGTTCAGGTTAGAATCAAGTTTGGGGTTAGGGGTAGAGCTGTGGTTAGACATTTGGATTTGATGGTTAAAGCTACTTCACCATTTTTTCCCCCAGTCTAGATGGTCTAGTGAGACTCAAAACAAACGGACACCAAAAATAAAAACACCTTGTTGCTCTCTGCCCCTCCCACCACATCCTGTTTCCTACCAACAATATAAACTATGGATGCCTGGTAGGGACAAACTGTACAAAACACAGCCACCAGTCTGAAGCTAGCGTTAGCTAACTAAACAACTTCTGGCTCTGTGGTCGACAGCATCATTGCAGCAGCACAATGTCAATTGATGAGGTTGACAAGACAGTGCCGAACAAGGCCAACAAAGCACAGACGTTACACAAAGCTCCAGTTACTCCCAGATTACACCTGTATTAATCCAACCCAAAAGGTAAAATCCTGACCATGCTAGGTGGCTAATGCTACCAAAACAAACTGGTTAGCTTTAGATGCTAACAGATCCTGAAGGAAGAACGCCACATCTGAATCCAGTCCGAGTCCTCTGGCTGCTTTTAACCCTCTCCATGTCAAACAGCCAAACCCATGTTAACCCCGGTTGTTGCTCTTTCTTTGTCCCACTCTCTCTGTGCAACAGACACCACCTCTTCACTCTGGCAGCCACTGCTTCAGACTTTTAGAGGTCACAGCACTACATTCACAAAGATTCAGAACAAAGTTGTGGACTGTCCCACCACCCACCCACAACTACACAAGACTGAAACCTCCGACCATTTCAAATTCATTAATAAGCCTGATAATAGACTAACAGTCCACAGCTACAGCTATAATTTAAAACTAAATGTATTAATGCTTTCTGATGCTGCTGGTAGTTTCTTTTATCAGTAATGTTTGTGACAACAGCAGGAACAAACAGGCTGATAATGTCAACTGATACGAATTTAGACTCGCGGTATTTATGCACATTTGGTCAGTCTCTAATCGGGGCTTACTTTCACCTCTGACCCTGACAGAGATCCCCTGGGGCAGAAAACAGCCCCTCTCCTGGAACACAAACTAATTAAACACAAAGCCTCCAGCCTCCCAGTGGCCCAGACGACCCCATCAGCACATCACATGACCTCTGGTGTTTGTTATCGGTCCAACCAGAGGCGGGGTGCAGAGGAGGGGTCAGAGGTCAGGGGATTTGGTGTACAAGAAGGAGGCACTATGGGTGAGTGCCCTGTGGCCAGGTCAGGTCACATCTTTCTGGGAACTGTGGTGGGGGAGAGCATTTTTTGGTGTGTTTGTGTGTGTGTGTGTGTGTATGTGTGTCACTTTGTAAAAGCTCATTACAAGCCATACAGGTCATCTGCAGCTGCAAGCTGAGACAGTCAGTCTGAGGCCTCACATTCCAGCACACAGCAGGTGCAGGGCCACACTGATTCAGCCACAGGACCCTCACACACACACACACACACACACACAGGGTGAATGTGCTGCTGCTAAAGCTTAACCAATCCATCATTTTCTATTAACAGTAAATGAAACATCTAAAACAACTAAATGTGATCAAAATGGTGCCAGAAGCCACCTCCAGATGAGCCAAACATCCTGAATTACACACAGACACAAACACAGCTGATTTCACCACCAGTAAAGCAGAGATCTCACCTGCATAGCGCAGGTCCAGTGGGCCTAATAAGGCTACTGCCAACCAGAGCAGTTCTTATTTCAGTAAAATTAAACTGCTGTTGCAACTTCTGTGGAAATGTGACCTGGGTGTTCATTCAGACTTGAGCCAACATGTTCAGATTCCGTCAGATTAATGGAAAGCAGTGAATGTCTGACAGGGGCTCAGTCCAACTGAGCGTTGCCTGCTCTTCGGCCTGGGGGGGCGATAATGAGCCCACTACAGCTACAGCAGAATGAGACAAAGAAGCACATGCAAATGTTGGGACAGTATACCCTGAAATGCAGCCAGCCCAGCTTTCTTTGGAATGTGTTGCAGTATCAGCACTGAAGTGAGTGTTTAGTTTGAACACATCAAAGAATGTGCTGCTGTATTGTTCTCAACGTAATACAGGACACAGGTGATTTACTCGTCACCATTTTCAGCTTTTTAGCTTTGATTTTACACAGTCCCAACAGTGTCAGTACTGCTACCAATACTTTTCACTGATAGGATCTGTGTGCTGTACTACTGAAGACATTCTCAAACCCTCCACCTAAACTCCTGCTGCCAGCCTCATCCCTCTCCTCCCTTCCCTTGTGTTTCAGCTCCGTTTGCTCGCTCTGCTTATTAGCTCCGTGTCTGAACAAATCAGAGGTGTCCCCACTGTAGCTCGCAGCATGCCTGCAAATGTCACAGTTGGTGACATTTTTATTAACAAGCAAGAAAAACTGGAGACTTTAACCACCCAAAGCTTATCTAATAATGACGGGTTATGGTGAAACGTCATGTTTGTCAGCCTCCGTCCCGTCGTTTCAGTTGGGCGGTTACTGTTTATTTTGCTCTAACCCATCAGCAGCGACTGTCAATGCACCAAACCTACTCGTTCTCTCATCATACCAGCACATTAACTCAGTTTACCTGCTGGGTTTGATTCCTGATCTGATACAAGTGCTCTCTTTTCCCCAAAGCATTATTTATTCATTGGGACAATTTTTCAGTATTGAAGGATGAGGCCATTTCTGTGGAGCAGTGACTTAACAAATGAAAATGACAGGGGAAACCCGTAGCGTGGGTCGCTGTATCCCTAATGCTCAAGTTCTTGTTTCTGTATGTCAGTTTACAGCAGCCTGTACAGATGCAAACTACTCATCCACCCTTTTTAAGGACTTTTGTCCTGACTTGTGTTTCTGAAAAGAAACCAGGTGCACATATTTAATCTCATCTATAAAACTCTGACTGGCTCAGGTGTTTTGATCTGTGACATGTTAGAAAAAAGAAGCACTTCCGTGCCAAACATTGCACTACAGATTTTCATCTAGTATCAGTCCTATTTACTAATATTTACAAAAATCTCCATGTAGTGCAGGATCGATCTGTCCATAATAAAAGAGGTTGCTGCTCTGAATGAGACTCCATCATGCTGCTGTGCTAAATTTGTACCCTAATGCTTTAAGCACAGATTAATATTTTCCATTGCAACAGAAAAGGAAGAAAAAAAGAACAGAAAAAACAAGTTAAATTGCTTAGATGCCAGTTAACATGGGATCACGATCATCAGCTGTGATTTGGCCTCATGCAAGAAGCAGTCGTACAAACAGATTGGTTCCTCAGTGGCACATACAATACAGACAATTTTCTCGTTCTTGTTTGGTAAATCTGAGTCTAAACAGGCTGTGTTTTCTAAAGGTTAACATGTAAAACACTGAAGCTGTAGCACTGAAATCCCATTGTATGTTTTTGTGACACAATAACAAATAAAGCAATAAAATCCATAAACCGGTCACGTCAAACTGAATGCAAAGAAATTAAGAACAAAACAGTACATCTGGGATTATGAAGCTCTGTATACTCTGCACCTGTTCAAGAATTTGCTCCTGCTGTGTAGATTTTCTGCCTCAAGCAGGAACTCACACCTGTTACTGTCTGGATACGGCTGGTTTTACACTCGCAGTCACGTTTCTCTGCAGCAATAAAACCTTACACGCCCACACAGGAGAAAGGAAAAGTGTGACATCTGAAGCAAGAAAGAAAAACCATTTGTTCCTCACCAGAGTCTCAGACATAAGTTTCAGGGTTGGAAAACTGATGGGAAGTGATGGAGAAACTTCTCAGTCGCAGTCGACTCCAATGGGAACCTCAGGAAGAAAATCCAGTCTGTAAGGAGACATGCAGACAGGTGTGAGATGACAGAGGATCTGACAGGACTGGAAATCTGTAGAAAACCTTATATCAGATATTGAAAAATCTATTCAAAATGACAGAAATATTGAGATTTCTGTTGAGCTGCATAAACAGAAAGCACTGCAAAAGCAACAGGAGATCAAGTGAACTGTCAAACTGCAGAGAAAGCTACTTATGACTGTCGTTATTAAAGGATCTTTTCTCCAGGTTTTATGGCAGTTATTAGTAGTCATCGCCATGTTTCTGCACCGTCAATCAGACATGCAGATGAAAAAGTGATGCTTTCAATTTCCTGTCTCTATAGCTGGAGGCAACTTCAGCATTAGAGACAATCAGTGTTGATGCTAACAAACACATCACGTCCTGTGTGCCAGACAGAAGGCCAAAGACAATAAAGACATTATTCAAAGTATGTCCTCTGTGGTCCAAGAACAGTTACTGTGACCAAGCATCTCACTGTCACTACAGCTGCAAAGAAAAAAAAATACTCTGAAGGTCTGAAGAAATATAATCAGCTGCATCCAGCTTTTGCCTTCATTAAAGATTGTTTGTGATGTATTAGCCTAGCTTAGCATAAAGTCTGGAAGCAGCCAGAACTGATAGATATGCTTTCCAATTAGATTTGGCTCAGTAACCACAGAGAGTCATGAGCAACACCAAGTAGCCTGAAGGCCAAGTCGTGCTCTGTGCATGTCCTGTAGTGAGGCTCTGGAGGGACAGAGGGGCAGATGGGAGGACTGAAGGAAGAGGAAAAAACTCCACAAACACAGAGTCTTGTCTTTATACTGCTGTCCCTGGTGCTCGCTGTGCTCGGTCCAGATGGCGGCTCCTCTCTGCAGCCATACAGAGCACAGGGAGGCGACCCGATGCCTGTCAGAACCCCCGCAAAATTCTGCCCTGGAGCCCAATCTGAGCCTGAGCCTGTGACAAACAGTCATCCCACATGCCAACAGTCTAATCTGCATCCTCATCAAGGAGGATGTGGGAGGGGGCTGGAGTCCTCCTGCACCGTGGGAGGTCCGGAGGCTGCTTTTACTGCAGCTGATAGCAGGAGTGCTGCTGTTGTTCGTGTGCTAACAGCTCTCTGATGGCTCCAGGAGCATAGACAGATTGGCTCAGAGTGTGAAACAACAGCAGCCATTAAGTTGCTCTGTACCACCTAGTGGGGGGGCATCCACCACAGAGACCCAACCCAACCCCCACACTCGGAATGTGGCTAACTGCTTTGTCTCGCTTTCTCTTTTTGTCTTAGTTATCCGCAGAATTACATTCATTTACATGCACCTCAGTCATCTGATTATTCTAGTCTCACAGCAATGAAGTTATTTTCTTTATTAAAGTAATGATTTAAAACCTATTGCTCACATGGTCAGGTGCCGTTACAAACCAACCAGAGCCTCTAAACAAAACAAGAAAGTAAACCTGATCAGCACACTGAAATTGGTAGTTTATCATCACTGTAACCACTGGTTTGAAAACACTTTCACTGTCAAGTGCTATGAAACAATTACTAGTCAATTTCTTTTAAATTCATGTGTGAAAACTGTAGCTACAAACAAATGATCTAGATTTTTTTTACCATCATAATGGTAAAACTTCAACTACAGATTTTACAACTGTAAAGATTTTACTTTACAGTTGCCACAGTAACTATTTTATGACTATCATTATTTCTTTTAAAGGCTCTATTCTATTCTAAAGCCACGTCCGGTTCTTTCAAACCAGGAACTCAGAGGGACGACTCAGACCACTTGAGTTTATAAAAAATATAACCGTGCTGGTTTATTCAAAGAGTCACAGGCAAGAATTAACACTTCAAGTCCAGAGATCTTCCAACCCCCAGGCTGCCCAAGCAGCCCGGAAAAAGGAAAGACCCCGAACCAAGAATTGCTATACAATATTAATCATTTCTGGGCTAGCCCATACCACGCAGGGCGTCAAACCGTGACGTCACCCGATATGCCAGCTTGGCAGCTGAGCAGAGCAGTAGACAAAACATGAAGAAAATAATGTGTGTGGCTGTTGTTTTCGTGGTGTGTATCTAAAACAATTTGACATAACATTACACATTAAGACAAATATTATGGTTACTTTTACCGTCATAATAACATTTGTCCCTGACTGCAGCCTTTCTCTGCTTTAACTAACCTTGCATTTAACAGCCTGAGGAGACATCCTGGCTACACCAACATCTTCTAATACAACAGACCTCTAATCAATATCTATCTAACTAAGAAATTACCTAACACTTTCATGTCAACAACCATGACAGGAAGCACAACCTTTACTGGAGTCCTCCTACCTAGATTGTAGTGGATCCTGTCAGCCTGATCCAAATGCCAGTTTTGCCAGCTCCACCTTTGTACGAATATGATGGTCCAAATATGATGAAAACATATCAACACATCATGTAAGAAAAGAAAAAAAAAACTCATGACTCGATAACCAAGACAAACACAATCCTGACTCGCACTTGATTGAAGCCAGTTAGCAGCTTTTTGTAGCTCCAGTTAGCACTTTGATGTGTGACGTTTCAAAGCAACGTGACACAAATGGCACATCCAAAGAGGTGCAATCAACTGGGATCAAACTGCAGGTGCATTTGAAAAGGTTCAAAATAAAGTATGTCAGGAGGAACAAAACGGGCTGGAGTGGGTCAGCCACAGGTCCAAACTACCACAGCTGCTCATTTGCATTATGGCTAATATCAGCATGTTTAGCAGTGACGTCAAGATCTTTATATCCTCTGCAGCTTCTGTCCAAACTATTTGTTCTTCTTCTTTGTTTTCAAATCTAGTTTGCAGACTCTCAAGCAACAAAACCTGTTTCGTCAAGCAAAACACCCTCATCACAGTCTATTATTGGTTAAATTAAGGTTATGAAGACCATGTTGTGTAGAGTCACACACTGTCTCACAGCAGTCTACTTCCTGCTACGTCTGCATTTTATAACAGAGTAAGGGTTTGACAAAGCTGAGAAACGCAGCCTTATTTGGACATTTACCCAAAACTACAAAAGGCGACAGACAGCAAGTCATATGGAGTCGGATTCTGCCTATTTTTTTTTTTACAATAAAAGAAACATGGTTAAGATACAAACGACACCTCTTTTCAACCATAATTAAGGTAAAACAACCTAACTTCAAAATGAGCTGCACCGACCTGGACAAACATATACAACGTGCAGCAGTGAAATGAGATACTACCACAGTGTTCACCCTTAAGGTAGTGTCACCAAAATCACTTCACATCACTGGGCTCCTGTTGCTTACAACACAACACATAGTTTGGAAAGCCGTGAAGAAGAATCAAGTTAATGGATCTTTTTGCGGTATCCGTTTTCAGAGGTGCACTTTGCAGATAATGAAAGGTTTGAAAGGGGTTTTAGGCTGTCTGGTAGCTGCTCCTTGAACCACCACAGTTGTGTTTTCAACATGATTACAAGAAGTCTGAATCATAAATATGAACACAGCTGACGTGGGTGTTGCTGCGCTCAGCAAAATAAAATCAGCACTTTGTTTTTAACTCACAGATAAACAGGTTCGACATGGGATTTGAAAGAATTCAGGGTCGATAAGTGAATTCAGAACTGGGTTGAGAATTCTTCAAATGCTTTTAAACTCCATTTCCACTCAGGGCCATTATCTAGAGTTGAAATGGCAGCTCTCTCTCACCTGGACAAACACAGCAGGGCTGTGAATTGCTGCAGGGTTTTGTAATATTCTCTGCTTGTTTGCTGTGAAAGCACCCAAAGGCCCTCAGGTTAGCTGCTGGGATGGCTTTGGCTTTTGAGGGCTTAAATTCTCAGTGCAGGATGCTGCTGCTGCTGGGAGAAAAACTGGGAGGGAGGAGCTGAGATAAAGATTTTCAGATGAGTTCAGGGGCTTTGGGAGGGATTCAGGCTTTGGTTGAGGTGGGGGAGTGAAAAGGAGGGGTCAGGGGGGTCAAATGTTGCTACTGCAAGTCATCTCCTGCTTGGTATGAAGTAAAAAGAGGGGAAGGAGGCAACAACATGGCACATCGCTTCCTTCAAGGCTAAAATATTCCAATTTCTCAAACAGGAGCACACACGTCAGCACATGTCGCACCGAGACGGTGAAGACAGAGAAAACCTGCTGATAACTCCAAGTAATTCACAGCAGTTTTATAACTGGGCATTATGTTAGCTTTATTTCATTTTTGGCATGAAATTTTATTTTCCATTTGTTTTTTTGGATTTTAGACACACACACACACACGCTACATGCATGATTAACCCATTGAACGGCTCTCTCTGCTGCCTCAGTAGCTGCTGGAGCTGGCACAGAGGATTCTGGAAAATAATGAGGTTATCACAGCCTCGCTCCACGCTCCATTACATCCCCTCAGCTCCCACACACTCCAGCTACACCAGCACTACACCCACTAACTGAAAGTGAGGCCAGGAGAGGAGTCGCTCAGTCCTACGTCTGCCTCCTCTAACGGGCGGTTCCTGCAACAGCTGAGGGTGAACTCTGCTGTTTACAGGCATTTACAAGCACTTGGGAGTGTGAAAGATCTCTAGGAGAAAAAAGCTTTATTGTGGTTTTAACTTTGACAAGAGTCAGTTCATGACAATCTGCCTATTGAGTAAAACCGATCATGTTGCAATACTTTTGTTTTTTTTAGACCAGCTGATTATTAATTTGTAGCCAGCTAGAACAAAACTGCTGTGCAACTGTTTGGTTGACATTTTATTTTTAGTGTAATGTTTGTGATCTCTGTAAACTCACTTATGTTGTTATTCAGGCCACGAGATATTGCAGCACAACTAACTAGGCAGCGACTTGGGGTCTATCTTTGAGAAATATAACCTTCCCTATCACTGCTATGGGGGTATTTCACTGCAATCATTTTCCGACTGCTTAAACAATATAAAACTATGGTTTCCACAAAATTTCTTGTGTCTAAATGAAAGTAAGGCTGAATACAGCGATTCTGCCAACATGAGGGCTT